GGTCCGGTCCCGCCGAGCCGGGCAGCAGCCGCCGGCTCGGTGCAAAGCGGTCAGAGCGGAGAGCTGGTGGAAGTGCGCTGACACAGCTCTCGGGCACTTCACCCCATGTGTCTTAACCTTCACCATCACAGGATGAAATAGTGGAAAACAATTCTTTTTTTAAATTTTATACCGGTCGAACAGATTAGAGCAGTGACTGCCACCTCACCATGGGGAGCGGCGTTATTACACGGGGAACAAAAAGAAAAGTGTTGAACATCAAACATCTGCTGATTATATACAGGACTGGTTTATGTTTTTCCTTAAAGCTTTCCTTTGTGGCTTAGGGCTTTGAGCTCGGACTGGTTGAGCTTCGTGAGCAGCGGGGCAGCCCCTCTGAAGCCCAGCCAGCTCGTGGTCGGCTTTTGGGCAGTAATGTCAAACAGTAAAAAGGGAAGGCTTGGCTTTGTTCCTTTCTTTTACTTAAAAGTTGGTTATGAAGTTACATGAGCTAAACTCCAAATACAGTCATCTTTTGAAGAAAAAATTATTGCTCAGGTCTTCTACGAGCATAAACAGGAATAAAAACTTGAACTCATGGTCATGTTGGTTTAGCTTTTCTATCTAGAAAAACTCTATGTACTGGATATGTGGATCCTTTTTAAAAGTTAATTGCACAATGTATTTTCATGAGCAGTTCATCAGTTTTGCCAGAAACAATTTGATCATTTCTCATAAAGGTCTTTTTGCATGAGAATTTCCAGGGGTATATGTGAATTAATAATAAAAAAAAAAAAAAAAAAAAAAAAGGCACCTTGTTCCTGAACTTCATAGGTACATTCCTGATAGGGCAGATTGTATTCCCATTTTATGCTTTTCCTTTGCTGAACAATGCTAGGGAGCATAAAGCAGGATAAAACCAAAATAGTAATAATAATAAAAAATACCCCTAATCTGAGTCAGATAGCGTTTTCTTCTGCCACGTGTCAACTTCATTGAACCATCCATCCCTCAGTCGTTTCCTCTGCATGGGCAGTTCCACTACCAAAGACAGCATGTTTATACCATGGCAGTAGGCTAAAACATTGTGTTTCACAGAAATGCAATAACTGCTAATTGAAAATAGAAAAGAATTTGAGTGAAGATGAAGAAAATCTTCCATTAGACCATTATGGCCAAACAGTAATTGCAAGCTGTTGCTAACAATGACAGTTCATATTGGTGGACTTGTTCCAGCTCTCTGGACTTTTTTATCACCCAGCTTTTAAAAAGATTATTGTTTGCTTATGTTTATGTCTTGTGGTTTTGTTGATATAATTCAGTGTTTCATGATATGGTAAAGTAGATTATCTAATCAGACATAGCATGACCCAATAATGGAAGTTTCTACAGCTCTTAAGAAATTATAATATGATTTTACACTTCCCTTACAAAATTCTTGCAGTTTCCTCTTTCCATAGCAATTAAATTGCTTTTCCGTACAGCAGTCTTACCTAGTAGAAAAATGCAGAAGTTACAAACCTGACTATCCACTGCTTTTTGTCATAAGAACAGAATCTTTCATTCAAAGTTAGCAGCAAGGCAATGGTGCCCATAGGCACATGTATTCTTGGGCTGTGTGGCCTTGAGAAACAGGCACGTGGGAGAGAAGAGGTTATGTGCTGCAGCTGCAAGAATGAGGTGGTATTGCCCTTCAGAGACCTGCAAGGTCCTGGAAGCTGGTAAAAAAGATCAGACCATGAGAGGTTACATATTAAGTATCATATTATGCATGCAGGTATCATGTAAGGCTACTTTCTTTCACTTCACAGTGCATGTAGTAATTTGTTTGGTGCCAAGCCCAATGGAGACGTGTGCTATTTCAGCAGGCTAGATTTTTTGAGCAGAGTCTAACTTTGGTAAGAAAATTTTTAGTGACCTGTAAATAGGTAAGGGTTGAGAACCACTGTAACAGTAAGTGTGAATTTTTATAGAGCTGCTCCATTTAGGGAACATGTTTAGTAGTGGTACTTGGCTTTATTCACCAAAGCAGTCAGTGTTAGTCTTTGGCACTTGTTCAGCTTAAGTCCTTCATGTGGCAGATCAATTCTTCACTGCTTTTCCTGTCAGGGAAGGGGATCAAAGATAAGGGTGACAGTGGACTAAGGTTTGTTTTTTTTTTCCCAAGAGGTACTATCTTTAAAA